TTTTAGAGGTAGTAGTTACTGCGGCTCTCCACTGAGACAGCAACAGAAAAGGCCAAGGCTCGTCACACCTTATAAGGTCAGTGACATAGTTGTCATTTTTCCCAGATCTATTAAGCTACACAAAATTACAATAAAATGCACTTCATACAGACAATAACTTTAATATATCTCTTCTATGATGAACATCAATCTCTGAATTAAAATGAATTTGTCTGGCTAGGTAGTGTCACTTTTTTGGAGACTGTATAATATAATAATAATAATAATAATAATATTACTGTTTATACAACAGTTCGTGAGATATTGTACTGGTATTGTCACAGGAACGCCCAATCACCGTTTGTATCACTCCGCTTCCAGTATTTCTCACAGCGAGTGTCATGGCGGACACCCAAATCCACTAAAATGTAAAAATAATACTGTTTTTGTGTCACGCAATGTAGTTTCAAGAGGTTTTTTTTAGGTGAGAATGTACTTGTTTAGACTTCAAATATACGGTTTGTTAATAAAGATAACGTCTATTTGAAAATTAGCTTTGATGTTTTTGGAGACGTGAGCTCCAGGGCGTCAGCGGCCGTTCAGCGCTCATGAACCTGATGAGAGGCCAGATCTTCTGGAATTTGCCGCTCGCTCTGATGTCTCTATAGTGGATAAACATGAGATATAAATCGTTTTGGGTAAATCTCACTGGCAGTCTTTGGTCTCATTAATCTATTATTTGTTCCAGAGCAAATAGTTTAGGCTGAAAGCAAAATCTCATCACGTTATATTTTATGTATCTTTAATGCTGTATATTAGAGCATGGCTTTTATGATGGCTGTTGTTGTTGCTTATTATTCAATAAATAATATTGTATGTACATAGTAGTATTTAATATTGGGAAACGGTGTGTGTGTGTGTTCGTGATGGTGATTTTTGTGACATTGTTCCGCCATTAGATGGCGACAAGTGACTGTTTTACGAGTCCGCAGTAAAGACTCTTACATTGAAGGAGACTGAAACGGAAGTTATTTTTACTTTTAATAACAGCTTGTAAGACGCAGTTAACAAATGCACTGATCAGCGCTGTCATCAGAAATAGCCCTTAACAGATGAAAGGACAGTACGACAAAGATATCGCTTTCCTCAGCGGACATTCAAACTAATGTTTTGTTGTGAATATGAGATTGACCTGAAGAATGAATGCTGTATCAGATGCAGGTAATCACACTTGCTCAGTCCATCACTCTCTCATAATAGTCTACATAATACAGTGAGCTTTTAATTAATACAATAAGTTTTTAATGAAGCAACTCAACGTTCCTTCATTACTCGTACTCGAGTGATATTGCTCATGTAAACATTTTCAGAAGTGGATGAAACCAACAAGGATACAAAGGTTACATTTCTAAGATCAAGGCACTTAGTACTTATTTTCATAATCTTGACAGAACATCCATTGACCCCATGATTTATAAAGTAGCAGCCTGGTGTTTTTGCAATTACTCTTGACATTCTATTATTGGTTCTTGAGTTAATTCTTGGCATTTTAGGCCTAGAATACTATAAATTCTGTATTCCCTGCTGCCTGGCCTGGTAATAGCCATTTATCTGTATTATAAGCTCTTTTGGTGGGAAAAGTGTATGATGATGACCATAAATTCAAAGAATGTGAACAGATTCTTCCAAGAGGCTTTTGACGATACTAGACCCTTAAATCTTTTGAGCATCTCCAGTACACACAAATATCCCCAATTAATAGCAATTCTGTCATTTCTTTGATTTTCAGAAAAAAAGGAGCATAAACCTGATTCCTCGCCTCACGGGAGCTTTGGGTTCTCATTCAGCCCGCCTCATGGAGTCCCCCACTTTAGCCCCCCAGGTCCTAATCCTATGGGTCCACCTCATATGGGGCCTCCCCATCATCACCCCCCTCCTCCTCATCCTCACCCCCCTCCTCCTCCTCCTCCTCTCCCTCCGTTCTCCTGCCCTGTGCGGAGCAACCGACACTTGTCAAAGATCAGAAGTCATAGGTCTGAATAATGGATCTTATGCACATACTGGCTGAAACAGTCAGCATTTGCTCTCATTCCATCATCACCCCCCTCCTCCTCCTCCTCATTTCCCTCCGATGCTGCACACAGGGGTGACCTGTGATGGGTGCGATGGGCCGGTGGCTGGAACACGTTTCAAGTGCACCGTTTGCCCCAATTATGACTTGTGCTCCTCCTGCCAGAGCACAGGCCTCCACAAGGAGCACGCTCTCCTGCCCATCTTTCACCCAATCCCCAACATGTCTGAGGTGAATACCTGTTTTACTACTTTTGTGTCTGTATTTTGCTACATACAAAACATTTTGTTTTTTTAAATGATCTGAACATGCTGATCAAAGTAAAAAAATTTGTGCGTGCAGTGGTTCCCTCATGGGAAGTTTTGGCATAAGACGAGACACTGCATGTGGGCAAATAACCAGGCTCAGGCTCATGCTTATGCTCAGGCCTCAAACCAGGCTCAGCCAGGTCCATCTGGAGCCCAGCAAAACGAGGATGCTTCTGAAAACATGGAAGAGAACGGTGAGATGCCACCAATCAAAGGGTCTAATATAAAACGCATACGGTGTCCGAAAGCTGAAAAATGCTGCTTTCGCAGGCAGCAGAAGGAGGTAGGAGTGCAACAGGTCATGTGTGAATCCTGTAATTGTGTCACATCCTGTCTGCTGAGATAGTTGAACTAAAAAATAAAAAGGTGTCTGAAAGTTGTGGTTGCTGGTCAGTTTGTGAACAACTAAAGGATTGTGTGCTACCTCTGTGCACAAACAAGTCCGCTGCCTAAGCTTTCGGATGCAGCCAGTGGCCCATTTATAGACCACTTGGGCAGGAAAATCCGTTTGGCCGACATATGTATAAAATTTGTTACAATGCTGTAGACCAACATTTCCCTGACAGAAACTATATTATCATTTTTTTTATCCACAGGTGGTACTGCCTCTGCCCAGGCTAATATGGAGTACCTGAAGAACATAGGAGTGGGAGTGGCGGCCATGTTGAACCCCCTTGGTAAGTTCCCTACTTGGGTTTATTACTGGTACTTTTTGGCCTTTCCCAAACATTTTGCGTTCTAACACACCATCCGGATACTTCATTGTTTGGCATGCTAGCTAAACCCTTCAAAATAAAAATGCTTCTTCCTTTGCAGGCATAGATGTGGACATCGACATTGAGCATGAGGGGAAGCGGGACAAAGCTACACCAACTCCTCCTGCCTCCAGTGGGCCACCTAGTGCTCGGAGTGAGAGTGGCTCCAGAGGGTCTGGTCCAGGAAGTCAAGCCCCTGAAGAGAGCATCAGTGAGGGAACAAGGGTAAATCAATATCCAAGCAGTTCTGGAATGCCTGATAGTATACAGGATTGTGGCGTCTCGAGTTTTCAAAGCATAAATTCAGAAGTGAGAGATTAAAGGCTGAGAAGCTACATTCTGTTAACGTTCATTCCTTCTATCCTAGAAGCACAGAGAACAAGGCAGTGATGAGGAATGGACTCATCTTGGCTCTAAAGAGGTGGACCCCTCCACAGGAGAGCTGCAGTCCCTCAGGATGGAGGTGGACGGGACGGATCTTCCAGCCCCGCCAAGTACAGACTCTAGCACAAGCGCCTCACAGGGTCCCACTGGTCTGCGTGAGGCAGCTATCTACCCACACCTTCCTCAAGGTATAGTGCATCGTCATTGGGCCGAGTCCCAGTGGCAAATTCCAGTCCACTTCACATGGATTCAAGCAGCTTAATTTTAATGTCCTCTCCCTCAGATGCAGACCCCAGGCTGGTGGAGTCCCTTTCTCAGATGCTCTCCATGGGCTTCACCGATGAGGGTGGATGGCTGACCAGACTGCTCCATACCAAGAATTTTGACATCGGAGCTGCCCTGGATACCATCCAGTACTCCAAACCCGGCCCACAGAAGTAGAGAAGGAGCACAGGAGTAAAGAAGACCTGGGCCATACCTAATGCTGTTTGAAACTTCTGGCCTATTTTCTATTAACAGTCTTTGCATACTTTTTCAATGACAAATTCTTTACGTAAATGTTATCAACAATATCGATTACTCAGGTGACGAGCACGTAGTTAAGTTAATTTTTGGGCTTTTATGCAAAATAGATATATTCAACATTTCTGTCATTCGCATTACGCTTCATATTATTAAGATCATCGTCATCATATGTGCATATTACATATATAAGTAGAGATCTACATTTGTGTGATTTCTCTATTTGCATTTACATAACCAAGAGTTAGACGAAGCAGAAACCTGGGGGTATTTTTATTGTTAGTTTGAATAAGCAGATGGAATCGGGTTAATGTTACTGTAGGTCTTCTAAAATTCCTGTCCTTTCTATACAATAAAATGCAAAAAAAAAAAAAAATGTGATTTTTTTTTTGTACTCGTGCAAGACTGTGGAGAATGGGTTAACTACCAATGCGTTTTTATATTTGTTGAAGAGGTTTTAGCAACATCATACAACTTTGTTAAACATCCTTGAAAGAAAAACTTTTCAATTGAATGCATCTTATTCTTAAAATGTGTCTTCATCAGTAAAGAACAGGGAGTTTAAAGAAAGGCTTGAACATGGCGTCTTGGTCAGTGAAGGCTGTTTACAGACCGCGTCTCCAAAACCAGCCAGCCGGCTCTGGGCTGTGACTGTTGGTCGAACTGAAAAAGTTTCCACCCACACAAATATCACCAACAGACCTCCGCCTCTCTAGAACACCACCATTTATCTCTTCATCCGGTGGATATCTGCGCTCTTCAGAATCCACACCCATGTCTGTAAGTGCTTTTGTGAAATAAGGCACTGCTGTGTTATCATCGCAATGAGGCGAACTATGAGCTTCATAGTCGTACTCTTCCTCATCCTGCTGATTGATATCACAAATGTATTATTTCTCAATTAGCGTACGTGTTACTTCTGACTGGACATCGGTGCTTTACCTCTGATTCATGGTTTTGGACCAGACTTTCATGAGGGACAACGGTGAGGAATTCATTCCATTTTGATTTCTTATTCTCAATTCTGATGAGAAGAAACAGAAGGACATTTGCTGTGCAGGAGAAGACCTTTGGTTACCACAACTGCTGGCGGCTTATGTGATGAGTTACACTGCTGTTTATTTTCACCAGAGTTTTCCGCTACGTATGTGGAGCTGGAGCTGGAGCTGGCTGTAGGGTAACAATCAGCCTGACGGGATGATGGGTGATTAGTGCTAGTGCACGGCTCCACGTCACCTGACCTGCCACAGGAGGAATATTTGGAAGCAAATCCTTTATTCCACGATTAATTGAACCTCCTGTCATGCTGCAATAGATACAAGAAGAGATTGTGTTGAAATGGTGTTTTTTTTTGAACAGGGCATTTGCAGTATCATAGCAACATGCTATTAGCATATGAGTCATACTGTTGCAGATGTGTTAACATGCGTGTGCGTGGCTTACCAGATACGGCTGTCTCTTAAGCCCAGAACAACCAGTCCACGACTCCTCATCCTCACAGTTATCATAAGGGCCACCAAAAGACTTAAGTACAGATTTTCTTCCTTTTCCTATTCAGAAAAAATTATGTTACATTGGTATTTTTACATGAAATTAATAATGAAAATACAAGACAAACATTTCTTTATGATCGTTTTGTGCTAAGATTTTTTGGATTCTTTATTAATAATGAAAATGTTCTTTAATAGCCCCAGTTTTTTTGCCTTATTAACAGATTAAATGCTTTTATTGACAAGTATGAATGTTGTGTGGTACCTGGTTCCTTGGCGTCTGAATCTGTGTCTTTCTGTATAAACGTTCTGGTCTTCTTCATCTTCATGTCCATTTGGACCCTCAGCTGTTTGATCGGTGTATTTACTCCAGCGACTGACACGAGCCACTTCCTGCTACAGGGACAGGATGCTTATAAGGCCAGTGTTGTTGATATGACAAATGTATTATTTCTCAATTAGCGTACGTGTTACTTCTGACTGGACATCGGTGCTTTACCTCTGATTCATGGTTTTGGACCAGACTTTCATGAACATCTTCGTTCTCATAGTTTTCATCCTGTTCCCTTTAAAACATTGCGTTATTCAAAGGGTCAAGGAAATTATGCTCTTTTTTACCTATTTATTCAGAAATGCATTGCATTAAAATGTAATTCATAAATACAACGACTGACTACATTTCTTCTATGATGAGCTTGTTTTGTATTTCTGTAATTAAATTAGAATTCGTTTTTATATTTTTGGGGTGACAAAATCAAAAATGTCCCGATATCACAGAAGAATTGAATTCTTGAAAAAAATAAAAAATAAAAGATTAATCTGCGTACACTCACATCATGTATTCAATGAGTAAGTAAAATGTTTAGCCTGAAAAATATATTTAAAAACTTCAGAATGGATGTAACCTACCCTGATAGCACACGTACATCACGGAGACGTCTATTTGACATCTGCAAGACGTATTGTTTTTAGTGCTTGCTCATCTGCAATACGTCTATAGGATGTTTCCGATCAGATGTCAAATAAACGTTTAGAAAATGTCTTTTAAGGTGTTTATGATTTAGAATGTACTGTATGTAAAACTGACATCTTATAGACATTTATCAGATGTTTGTTCACAGCAGATGCTTTCTAGATGAAGCGATCTTTAACAGACCTCTTGCAGACGTACGTGTGCTATCTGGGATATAGTAGTGACTGTGGGTCCTGAAGGTTTGCTCACCACTGTGACAACAGCTGTTCATCTCCAGCATCTGTCCACGCAGAGTATTCAGCTTCTGAACATGACGTCTGCAGTCAGCTGCAGTGCCTCGACCAAACTCCTGCAAAAACACATCAAACACTGCAACACAGCCGTGACTTTGCAAGACGAGTGCCACGACCCTGATAGCACACGTACATGACAGAGACACCTATTTGACATCTGCATTTATATCTGCAAGACTGTGTTTTTTTTAGAGTGTTTGCTCATCTGCATTAGGGGGAGAGTGGGGTAAGTTGACCCACCCCTTGTATCTTGCCAACTGTACACTTTTACTGTCATGTGACCATGTATTTTGAAACCACCCATAATTTCTGCCAGACTGTGAAAAGAAGAAACACACGGGAAGAGTGGCAGGCACCCAATTACTTTAAAAACTGTTTAGTTTTAAATTTTAGCGTAACATATGTAATGGCTGTTATATCAAAGTAAATGTATCCAGGTCTAAAAATATTTATGATGCATATAAGTGATTTAGCAATGTATGAAACCATGTAAATCATTTTGCTAAATATTAGCCTGAATTAGTAAGCAAGCTAGTTTTTTTCCAAAATGGCAGCAAAGAGCCAGCATTTTATCTTACCCTACTATAAGGCACTGAGTTAAGTTAAATCTCTGAAGTATAAACTGGTAGTTTAATGTGATAGTACACAACTGATTTAGTTTATCATATATACATATTATTATTTGTAGTTTATTTGATAGGGGCAGTGTACAGGTGCACCAAATCCATATCTGATAAGATCTGGAAGATGCTTTTCATCACATTATAATCAGATATATCTCTCCACCTGTAGTCCCCAGTGGCCTGTTCGACATTGCAGAAAAGCTACCATGCCGAGAATCTTTTGACTACATTGTTCATTAGTTTCAGTGACATTTATTCCTTCATTCTAATTCAGTTTTTATTTTAATTTTACTCCACAAACTCTCCGTTTAGTCTGTTTTTGGGAAGATTACAACTTTGGAGTTAAACATATCGTTTCAGAAATGCAAACAATTAAAGATTGAATTTTTTATTTGGTTGGTTTTATGTTGTTTACATTAGCTTTAAGAAAAGAAATAAGACTGTTTGAAAAAGGAAATTTGATTATTAAATTAGTTTTTAAAAGAGGTAAATTATCTTTCAAATTTAACATGGGTTTGAACCAGATTCAGTCAGATGGTCATGCCAAGAATCTTTTGACTAAATTGTTCATTAGTTTCAGTGACATTTATTCCTTCATTCTAATTCAGTTTCTTATTTTAATTTTACTCAACAAACTCTCTGTTTAGTCTGTTTTTGGGAAGATTACAACTTTGGTGTTAAACATATTGTTTCAGAAATGCAAACAATTAAAGATTGAATTTTTTATTTGGTTGGTTTTATGTTGTTTACATTAGCTTTAAGAAAAGAAATAAGACTGTTTGAAAAAGTAAATTTGATTATTAAATTAGTTTTTAAAAGAGGTAAATTATCTTTCAAATTTAACATGGGTTTGAACCAGATTCAGTCAGATGGTTAATCTTACTCATTGACTCGGGTCAACTTACCCCCACCCCGGGGCAAACTGAGCCACAGGAACACTTTTTTTATAAGCCATATTTTTAGAACCCTTTGTCATAGATACATTCTGATCATTTAAAATGATAGGAAACATTCTGAAGTTACTTTAGATACTTTGATTGTACTTCTGACTCATTTTCCCTTATCTTGAGAACCACATAAGTAAAAAGTGGCTCATTTTACCCCACTCTACCCTACGTCTAGAGGACGTTTCCTATAAGATGTCAAACAGACGTTTATAAGATGTTTATGACTTAGAGAATGTATGTAAAACTGACATCTTGAAGACGTCTATCAGATGTTTGTACACAGAAGATGCTTTCCAGATTTGCAGACATATGTGTGCTATCTGGGGACAAGTTTAGCTTGTATTGAATGTTACCTGCATCAGTGACTGCTTCTCACCACACACTTTACATGTCCATTTCATACTCTTCTTCACCTAGAGGAGAAAAAGTAAAAACATATTTTAGTTTTGTTCACGCGTCACCCGAAAACTATAAACCAAAAGATCAATTCGTTCATCAAAAATATTTAGACCCTCTGAATACGAGGGGGGAGAGGCTGACATTAACTTTAAGTGCATGATGATTAATGATTTATGTCAAAAGTCTAAGCGTTTGTAGCATCTACAACACGAGAAAGTGGTTTAATTCTGAACTAAAAGGGACATGACAAAGTTACCTGCTGTACTTGAAAGGCTCGAGAGGAAAAACATCTCAGTACGTGGAATTCTTGAACCATGTTGGGTAGTTTTTACAGTTCGGAGAACAAAAGTACATTTATTTCCCTCATATAAAGACAGCTCATATTTGTGTTTCCCGCCGCCGCCCACCCTTTATTTCTTCTATGTAACGTCACTTCTTCTTCTCGCAAGTAGGACGTGATGTCAGAGACGCACACCGCCCTCTACAGGAGCTATGAATGTGTGCTTAGTCATAAAAACATCTGTGTGACTGAGGGATTCAGCAGATTTGACAAACTCACTTGGCTTCATTTATATTTGATATCACACACACTCTCTATTTTAATGAGCCCATCTCAGACAAAACAGCTTTTAGCTTAATTATGGGTCTTTCAAATAGTGAGGACCACTTCATATGCCCTCCTCACACCTGTTTCCAGCATCACTGACAAGATAACTAGACCACAAATCAAAATAATGTGCACAATTGCTCACTCTTCTGTGTAAAACGTGATATTTTTGTGACCTGCAGACAATAATACACCCAACACGGATAAACATGGCCTTTTTCAGTATTGAAAGGCTTTGGTCTTTATTGATCAGCAGGCTTGACATTCAGCTCCATAATCAGGGACGGATTTACCTCTTTTCGTGACATAGGGACGGGGGGGCCCAAAATGTTGTTTTGCCTATTACTATAATAGGCCTAATATTACCACCCAAGCAAACAAAAATATTTCTTAATCAGTGGAAACCGTTACAGTGTTTTCTATCGCAATAAGCGCTTGCGTTCGGTCAATAAAGATCGAATGTAGTTCTTAATTAGTTTGAGAACTCAGAAAGACCATTCCATTAATAGGTGCAGCGTACCACTTCAGGAGTTATTTCTCTAATCATTTTAACGGCCAGGAGTCACAACCACACATCAAGACATTGTTCAGATGATTTGTTTCAAGACATTTAACGTTACATGTTTCCATCCTGTAATGTGTTGAACTATTTTTTTTAAGCACCTCATCCCAAACCAAATTCCAAAACGTCATTTTAGAGCTGATAACAGAGGCTTGAGCCATTGATATGCAGGCTATGCAGGCTATTAATGCAGTCTAATGCGGTTATTAGAGAGAGAGAGAGAAATCTCGTGTGGGTTGAACTAAATTTTTTACGCACCTCATCCCAAACCTTCCGTTGCAAATTCCAAAACGTCATTTTAGAGCTGATAACAGAGGCTTGAGCCATTGATATGCAGGCTAATGCAGTTATTAATGCAGTCTAATGCGGTTATTAGAGAGAGAGAGAGGGAGATTAAGTGCGTGTGAATACCTGCGTCTATCAGCAGCGTCTACTAATAGCGAATCTTTAAAGGGGTGGTTCACTTGGTTTTTTCTAGGCTTGATTGTGTTTACTCGCTACTGAGAAATGTCATGTAGCTTTTCAGCTGCGAAACTATTTTATTGATAAATTTGCGGGGCGGCGTTGACGACAACTTTCTGTCAGCGAGTGTGTGTGCGTCTGTGAGAGAGAATCGGAGAAAGCGCGATTTCCGTACATTAAAAAGGCGGAATACATGGAAATTGTTTGTCATTTTTTACCCTGTTGTTTGTTATATTTATTTGCTCAATGTCTTGAGCAATGCGTAAATCCGGCCCTGTTAGACGGCAATCGGAAGTTATTACAAACACTCGATGGTGGTTTAAAGTGAGTTTTGAGTAAAAGCGGAATATAAATCTTATTTATTGTTCTGTTATATTTATTTGCTCAATGTCTTCTGAGGTTTTGGTTCTTTTATTGTTGTAGATAGTCCATAGTATAACAAAATATTATATCTCTTCATTGTGTTTGGGCCCCCTCTGGACGAGCGAGCATAGCTCAATCAAAGCTATTGATTAACAAGCTGAAATTTTATGTTGGGAGGTCATTGTGAGAAAACATTCTAATTGTACTTTATTTCATTTAAAGTGTACCTATTCTTGCAATTCATTGCTAAATTATTTCAGAAGTGTACAAACTGTCTGTATTTGCAGAATTAAACCATAATTAGATAGTTGTCATCATGATAGAGGACTGCTGCTCACAGATACACCTGATTATGGAGCATTAGTTAAAAGAACTTTATTTAATGTGGGATCAAGACTTCAATTAAAAAAAATCATGTTCAATCACCTAAAATGTTGCCATGTACTCCGATATGGTTTCAAAGACAATGTTGCATAGTGTCAAAGATATGGATCCATAATAGAGTGTCAAAACATTTTTCATGTTTGATTTTTCAGGTCCAGCTTTTCGCCCAGTGGCAGTCAAGCTAAAATATAAAAGAAAACGATAGATGCTTCAATGACAGTTTAAAATGTGCTTTGTGCCCCCAGCAAAATAACTTCATTCTTTTCACTCCCATGACTACTAGGGGAGGTTCATGGGTCACTTTAGAGAGAAAGCTCCAATTTCTGATGAGAAGGTAAATGGAGTGAGCTTGTAGCCTGTTCCACTGTAGAATTTATTCTGAAACTCCACCCTGAGAGCGAGAGAGAGAGAGAGAGAGAGAGAGAGAGAGAGAGAGAGCAAGAGAGAGGGGGAGAGAGCGAGAGAGAGAGAGAGCGAGAGCGAGAGAGAGATATATAATACAGAAAAACAATGACAATAAAGAAAATATGTGTAAATAGACACAGAAAGAACATGAATCTCTAATTAACTTACATAAAGCCTACTGTATCATGTTTGATAAGCACATTTCTATTTTTTCTTTTTTTTTTTTGTGTCGTCTGATTTACAGAAGGATTTAAAAAAGGCTTTTTAGTGTAATTGTAAAAATGTATACCTTTAGGTCGTGGTATCTCACAATAATAAGACATTATTGTGGGATATTTAGTGATAACTGGTATTTATATGTGTTTATGTAAGTAGTCTGGTATACTGTTATGAAGATTACACTGATTTACAAGATAATCCACATTTTTTCATCTTAATTATTTTAGATTTTGTCTGAAGTTTCAATAAATTGTTCTACCATTAATGCATTTTATTTTTTGACAACTCTACATTTCCATGAATCTGGATTACACCGTTTTAATGTAAACTAATAATCCTAATATGATGCATATTTGTCAGTTAAACGTAAATGAAACAGCTAAGATTTCTGCACTCCAAAAAATCATGGCAGTTTCTTAACTATTTGCATCAATTTAATTTGATTTAAATAATCATATTTTCAAAATGAATTTATTCCAGTTTCTCAGAGTTAGCATAAATTTGTTTTTGTTAGTACTATTACAGACATCTTACCCGTTTCTTACCCATTTATGAATGACTGACAAATATGCATCACATTTTATTTACTTTATGGTAAAACTGTGTAATTCAAATGAATGGAAAAAGTAGATGCAATTCAAATACATAAATCTAAAATTTAGGTCAGAATATTTCTTTGAGTACATATGTAATATAAAATGTCTTTTTCCAAACACAAAATTCAAAAAAATAAAAACATCTGTAATGCCAAGGATTGCAGTAATTACAAATAGCTTAGTTTAGTTCAAGACTCAGCGTGATGTTAAGAGGACATAAAACACGACCTGTGTGTGTGTGTGTGAGTGTGTGAGTGCGAGTGCGAGTGAGTGAGTGTGTGTGTGAGTGTGAGTGAGTGTGTGTGTGAGAGAGAGAGTGTGAGTGTGTGTGTGTGAGAGTGTGAGTTTGTGTGTGAGAGAGAGAGTGTGAGTGTGTGTGTGTGTGAGAGAGAGTGTGAGTG